TTTTTTAAAAAAATCATCCTGATCTTACTCTTAGGGTAAGACTTTGGAGACTCAATCTATCAGATGTTCTTTTGCCAGAACGATTCCAAAAGCAATTCTTGAGGGAAATGCTGACTCAGCTCCAGGAATTCCTAATTTTGCCTTTTGGTGCAAGTGCGATGCTAGGCCTACCACTGAGATCAAAATCTGTGATTGGATCCTTAATTTCCATATTAGGAATCAATCTCACTTTATAAACATTTACTTGATTGGTGTCTATAACCTATGGTCCATATTTAAGCAGCAACTCAGAATAGGAACACTCTAGGCCATCTTCGGAGAACATAGCCTCAAAAGATCAGCTCCTCATCTTCTTTCAATTGCTAGCTTAGATAAGTAATATTTATGGAAGATGATTTGAAGGATATCTGTCTCTCCCCTCTTCCAGCTACTCTGAATTCTTTCTTTCTATCACGTTGAGTATCAAAAACCTATATTGCCTCAGTCTATCACTGAATTGCTATCACTGAGTTGGCTTTTTAATATTATGCCTCTGGGTTAAAGTTGCTGTAAGAAATTGCAATTTTAAAAAATGTGGTCAAACCAAAAATAAAAGTCCAGGCCCAGACGGCTTCTCTGGAGAATTCTACCAAACATTCAAAGGAGATTCAATACTTATCCTTCTCAAAGTATTCCAGAAAATTGAGGAAGATGGAGCACTCCCTAACACATTCTATGAAGCCAACATCACCCTGATCCTAAAACCAGACAAGGACAACACAAAGAATGAAAACTACAGGCCAGTATCACTGATGAACATTGATGCAAAAATCCTCAACAAAATTCTGGCAAACCAAATACAGTAATACATTAAAAAGATCATACACCATGATCAAGTGGGATTTATACCAGGGACACATGGATGGTTCAAAACCGCAAGTCAATCAGTGTGATACACCACATCAACAAAATGAGAAACAAAAGCCACATGATCATCTCAATAGACGCAGAGAAAGCATTTGACAAGATCCAACATCCATTTATGATAAAAACTCTCAATACAATGGGTATAGAAGGAAAGTACCTCAACATAATAAAGGCATATATGACAAACCCACAGCCAACATCATACTCAATGGGGATAAACTGAAAGCCATCCCTCTGAGAACAGGAACAAGACAAGCATGTCCACTCTCACCACTCTTATTCGACACAGTACTGGAGGTGTTGGCCAGAGCAGTTAGGCAGGAAAAAGAAATAAAAGGAATCCAAATAGGCAATGAAGAAGTGAAACTCTCACTGTTTGCAGATGCCATGATCTTATATATAGAAAACCCCAAAGAATCCATTGGAAAACTATTAGAAATAATCAACACTACAGCAAAGTTGCAGGGTATAAAATCAACATACATAAATCAGTAGCATTTCTATACTCTAACAACGAACTAACAGAAAAAGAACTCAAGAACACAATCCCATTCACAACTGCAACAAAAAGAATAAAATACCTTGGGGTAAATTTAACCAAGGAAGTGAAAGACCTATACAACGAAAACTACAAGACTTTCCTGAAAGAAATTGATGATGACATAAAGAGATGGAAAGACATTCCATGCACATGGATTGGAAGAATAAACATAGTTAAAATGTCCTTACTACCTAAAGCAATCTACAGATTCAACATTATCCCAATGACATTCTTTACAGAAATAGAACAAAGAATCCTAAAATTGATATGGGGCAACCAAAGACCCCAAATTGCTAAAACAATCCTAAGAAAGAAGAACAAAGCCAGAGGCATCACAATCCCTGACTTCAAAACATACTACAAAGCTATAGTAAAACAGCATGGTACTGGTACAAAAACAGGTGTACAGATCAATGGAACAGAATTGAAAGCCAAGTAATAAAACCACACATCTGTGGACAGCTAATCTTCAACAAAGGAGCTGAGGGCCTTCAATGGAGAAAAGAAAGTCTCTTCAACAAATGGTGCTGAGAAAACTGGACAGCCACATGTAAAAGAATGAAAATTGACCATGCTTTTTCACCATTCACAAAAATAAACTCAAAATGGATCAAAGATCTAAAGGTAAGACCTGAAACCATAAGGCTTCTAGAAGAAAATATAGGCAGTACACTCTTTGACATCAGTATCAAAAGGAACTTTTCGGACACCATATCTTCTCAGACAAGGGAAATAACAGAAAGAATAAACACGTGAGACTTCATCAGACAAAAGCGCTTCTTCAAGGCAAGGGAAAACAGGATTGAAACAAAAAAACAACGCACCAATTGGGAGAAAATGTTTTCAAGTCATATATCTGACAAAGGGTTAATCTCCATACTATATGAAGAACTCACACAACTCAACAACAAAAAATCAAACAACCCGATCAAAAAGTGGGCAGGGGACATGAACAGACATTTCTCCAAAGAAGATATACAGATGTCCAATAGGCACATGAAAAGATGCTCATCATCACTGATCATCAGGGAAATGCAAATCAAAACTACACTAAGATATCACCTTACACCCGTTAGAATGACAAAAATAACCAAAATAAAAAGTAACAAATGTTGGAGAGGTTGTGGAGAAAAAGGAACCCTCATACACTGCTGGTGGGAATGTAAACTGGTGCAGCCACCATGGAAAACAACGTGGAGATTTCTCAAAAAAATTAAAAATAGAAATACCATATGACCCAGCCATCTCATTACTGGGTATCTATCCAAAGAACTTGAAATCATCAATTCCAAAAGTCCCATGCACCCCTATGTTCATTGCAGCAGTATTTACAATACCCAAGACGTGGAAGCAACCTAAGTGCCCATCAACTGTTAATTGGATAAAGAAGATAGGGTATATATATAAAATGGAATACTACTCAGCCATAAAAAAGTATAAAATTGTCCTATTTGCAACAACGTGGATGGACCTTGAGGGTATTAAATGTTAAGTGAAATAAGCCAGATAGAGACAGGCAATCTCTGTATGACTCCACTCATAGGTGGAAGTTAAACATGTAGACAAAGAGAACAGATTAGTGGTCACTAGGGGAAAGGGGGGTGGGGGGTGGGCACAAAGGGTGAAGTGGTACACCTACAGCATGACTGACAAACAACAATGCACAACTGAAGTTCCACAAGGTTGTAAACTATCATAATCTCAATAAAAAGTTTTAAAAAAATGTGGTCAAAGACATTATCTAATAAAATCTTCTGTGTAAAATATCTTTGGGTTTCACTTTTGGAATAGCTTTGCTTTGCCCTAGGGCCTGGTATGCTGGGTATAATGAAAAGTGTGTATCTGATTGTCTTATTTTTTTCCTTGGCTACTAGGAAGCTCAGAGCTAAATACACACATACACACACACACACACGTATACATATGTAAATAAATAAATTTTTGATGTTCTTTAATTCTAGTTCCCTATTGAATTTGTTTATAACCTTTCTTATTTATACAAACAGTACAATGTGATCTTTTAAAAAATTCCTATGTGACCTCATAAGTAATTACCCACAGATGTTCCCTCTTCCTTTTTGATGTTTCTAATTCGCCTGCAAATTGGATTCTGTCTAGCAACCAAGGCTACAGTGTAGCCCAACTGACGAGAATACTGACAGTTTTTAATATTCTTCTACAAACTAAGAGTTAGATCATGAGTGCAGCATGCAATTGTGGGAAAAAATTCCCTTCCCTGTAAATTCTCTGTGGCTGGAGAATACCCAGGCTAACTTGTCTTGGAAATAATGGGAATGCAACTGGATTTTTGTGTTACAAATAGATATGCTGCAAAATGCAGGACTTAGCGATGGGGACTTCCTGCAGGAATGACAGCCTAGAATGAGGACTGAGAGGAAGAAGTAACCTTTTTAAGGTCCCACCTGGTACTAGGGTATGATAATTAGCTGTTTGTTATTTTCAATGATGTGCTAGAGCTGGCTCCTACCCACTCACCAGAGCTGATTGTTAAAATTTCAGGATTTTTGTGAGCCAGTTAATGTCAGGTTGATATCAAAATAGGCCATGGTGGGAGTACTTGTACCATGCAAATTGGCAAATGCCACAAGTCAGCCCCTCCATCTCAAAGAGCTGGCTGTTAGACACTTACCAGACGTTTACTATTGCTTTTTGCTCACAACTACCATTGAGATACGTATATCTGTCCTCATTTTATATATGAGGAAACAGCCAAAAAAAATCTTTAGACTTTAGGAAGAAATTACAGAGGGGACAAACATGTGAATTAGAAACTGCCACACCAGGAACAGGTCCAGGTACAGTGCTGACCTTAAGGGCTATATTCAGAGAAGAAAGATCCTATTCAGAGGAAGGCAGTGAGCTAATCTAAAGAGATTGCCAAATTGAGATTCAGAAGGCTGCAAGAACAATTTCAGTGAGGGACTAAGGGACCCAAGAGAAAAGCCTCCAGGGGGAGCTCAAGGCTCCTCCAACCTTTTCCAACTCCTCCTCCTACCTTGGTTGGAGGAATCACCTCAAAGGCAAGAAATTCCACCGCCACCCTGCCTCCCAAGAAAGAAGGGTTTGCTCAAGCTTGAAGGCAGGAATCGAGCCACGTTTCCCAGGGGACAAAAATTTCAGAAAAGTTTTAAAAAGTCAACACACAAGAGTATATTCCTTTTCCTTCAGTTGTACTTCTTAGCAGTGACTGGAATGGAAATGGCCGTTGGCTGTCCAGCATCCCTGGCCACCTTCCTCCCTTTTGTGTCTTTCCTCCCTGCCTCCTTTCTCTTCCAGAAGCTGGATTCAAGACAAGGGCCTTGGCCCAAAAAAGCCCAAGATGGGCAGCCAGTGCCAGCCCAGTTATAGGGCATCCAGGTGAAGTTCTAGTTTGTTTTGAATTTGTATTTGAAGCCAACTAATAACCTAATATTACTTTGCCAATCATTGTCCTGTATTTCCTTCAGGAACCTTGAGGGAAAAGGGAAGTGCAGCCTGTGCCATGGTTAAGGTAAGCCTGGATCCACAGTACTACCCATTGTTGTTTTCCCAGGTACCAAGGGAATGAAGAGCTCATCTAGTTCACAAGTGGCAGAGTCAGCATTTAAACCAGGTATGATTACTACAGGGCCTGTGCTCTCTCCAGGGAGCTCTTTCTGTGACATTAGGCTGGGGCAGGAGACCTTGAGAGAAACTCTCCTGCTGGGGTCCTGAAGGAGAGTTGGACTTACTTCCTTACAGGCTGATCTGTTTTCTGAAAATGGGACAAAGAGTGTGAAGGCAGACAAAAGTGCTTGTTTCTTTGAATGATATCTTAAGTGATTAAGTGAGATAATGTATATATAGTGCGTAGTCAATAATTGGCACGTGATTGATGGTAGCTAATTTTACAATATACTAAACTGTGATTATGTTAATGCTTAATCTCCAGGACCAAAATATGACATTTGAACAATGAGTAGATTAAGGGAACCTCTTCTAACTCTGCTTATATATTTTATCTTAATCTGGAGTCATTTAGAAAAGAAGGAATTTGGAGTTGGGATTCAAATAGTCAAAATGTGAATATCTTCAATGTTTCCTGGGATTTCTGAGTTTCTACTTCCTAAATGTCTTTATAGAGGAAAACCATCAGCAGAGACATCTAACTGCTGCTTCTCTCTCTTCTGACATCTGAGAAGCCACCTGAGGCAAATCCTAATGGGAGACTACGCAACAGTCAGCCCCTTCTTCTGACTCCCAGAGTCCTGATTTACCCAGGTAGAGGAAAGCAATATGCTCGGGAAAGATTCCCCAGTTCCAGGGCATGAACAATGATTAGTCTAAACCAACCATGTTAATCCATTCCTCTTTATCACAGATTGGTTTAGAAGTGGGCATTTCACCAGATTCTGGCCAGTGGCATCTGAAATGATGTTTGTTTGCACTTTTGTGAAATTGGAGAGAGATGTATGCAAGAGAAACCTCCTCCTTTCCTGCTTTGGCTTTGCACGTGAAGATGGAAACTTAGAGCAGTAGCTCCCATCTTAGCACCACAAGAAGGCCAAAAAGAAAATGAAAAAGCTGATCACAAGTCCTGACATTGTTAAGCTGAAGAACCAACCCTGAATTATCTACCTGAAGGCTTATCATCATGTGAGAGAAAAGTAAATCTTATTATTTAAACCCTTTGTAGGCACATATTCTATAACTTATAGCCAAAATCATCCTAACCAATATACCTTACCATTTCAGAAACTTACCCCAAAATCCCCTTCGAGTGGTGGCAAGAAAACCCCATCAAAGGAACATCGAGAGTAAGGACAGTAACTAGTGTTGAAGAGTTGAAGGATGCTTTGCTGGCATTGTTGATAGTTTCCAGTGCCCTGGATTTGAAACTGATGAAACGGAAGAGTTGTCTCAAATCTCTTGGTACAGGGGCTCTTGTAAAGGTCACTTATGTTCATTACCTTCTCATATCCAGGATGAAAACATGGGTCCCTGAGGGTTCCATTTGTATCCTGAATGGAAAAATCACTTGAAGACATCACGTACGAATTTTCTGGGCAGAAAAGTACCAGTGTGACTTCATTAATGTGTAGGAATTATACAACGTCCCAGCACTCAGCATGAGCATCAGTATGCCCCTGCTCTGCCTTGTTCACCCTTGAGAATAGTCAGATTTGTCTAACAGGCACAGAAGGGGTATCAGATGTAAATGAACTTTCGCTATTCATAGAAAGCTAATATAGTTAAAGCTGAGCCCAGAAATGCCGTTAGCCTGGATTGTTCCCTAGGACTAATCACATAGTTAGAAGCAGATTCACAAGGAAAACTCTCAAGGCTCTCACAACTTTAACCTGAGGTAGCTCTCCAGGAGTCTGCCTACACCCCTGCCCCCACCTCCAAGCAAAAAATCAGAAGCTCTGAGAGCTGGATATACCTTAGATCCTTTAACCAGGATTATCAAAATGTTTTTTAACCCCCAGCCTACTATGTTCAAGTGAAGAAAGGGGCTGCTGTGGATTAGAGACACATAGGCTCAGTAGGCATCTCTCAGCTGCACCTACCCCCTTGGTGGTCGTCTTATTGACAGTGCTTCTGAGAACCAGAGAAGGCACTTTGGAGGGGAGCAGAGAACTGGCTGTCCTTTCAGTGGAGTTAGGGAACAGCTGGATGTGCCATCCTTGCTCTGTGTGTGTTTGTCAGAAGGCGCCTGGTAGTCACATGATTTTGAGTATGTTTAACTTTTCTTGCCTTCAAAATGCAGTTTGTAGGAAATGGAAATTAAAAAGTAGTAAAGAATTTATAAATTGCACACACCCACCCCCCAACAATAGACTAGCATATAATTTTCATTGTCAGCCCTACAGGGGTAAGCAATTATTTCCTGAGAAAGGATTCGAGTCATGTCCTTGGAGATAGTGCAGTAAACAAACATAGGAGGTGATGTCTGGAGGGAATATCGTAGGGGTCTACCAGATGTGCTTAGATATCCTGCCTGGAAAGGTTTGGAAAGTACAGTAACCAACTTCAGACCTATTACTGAAGTAGACAGAGAAAACAACAGGATGTGGGGGCTGGCAGCCCAGATGTGGGGAGGGCAGGTCTGGATTCAGTTATACTTGCCTGAATGTCCTTGGCCAGTTTCTGCATGAGCGCTTGATCCTTCCCATAGCACAAGAAGCTGTGTGTGTATATACTGTAGTCCTTGCCATACAGGCGAAAGTGCAGAGCATTGTCTGGAGACTCAGTGCTCTTGTTTTGGGGCACAAAAGTGATTTGTGTAGAGGCTCCCCCAAGGTCTAAAGCTCCATAGGTTCCCTGAGTATCGTCTCCCTTTGGCATCAGGTTGAGCCATCGCAATTTCTGAAAGAGAGAACAGTCACCAATGGAAGTCTCTGGATCACTATTTCTTGGACTCAGGTACTCCCTAAGGCAAAGGAGCAGGGGCATAGGGGTGACACAAAGCTCGCTGGAAGTTCCTAAGTCCGCATCAGATCAACAGCAAGAAAAGAAGGGCTTCAAAGACATAGCTCAGACGGCAGCAACATAGAAGCAGTATAGCCAGTCTTCACGAAGAAGGGGGCTGGGGTAAGTTCAAATCCCCACTTATTTGCTCATTAGCTGTGACCTTGAGCAGAATAATTACCTTCGCAGGCCTCAATTTGGGGCTCTAACGTGAAAGAACACCTCATACAGTTGTTCTGAAGATGAAATCAGACAGTACGTGAAAAGTGCTCAACAGCACAAGATGCATAGCATGAGGCAAATATTAGCTATTCTTCTTATTTTTTTTAAAGATTTTACTTTTCTTTTTTCTTCCCAGAGGCCCCTGGTACATAGTTGTATATTCTAGTTGTAGGTCCTTCTAGTTGTGGCATGCAGGACGCCGCCCCAGCGTGGCTTGATGAGCAGTGCCATGTCCACGCCCAGGTCCTGAACTGGTGAAACCCTGGGCCGCTGAAGCAGAGCGAGCGAACCCAACCACTCGGCCAAGGGGCCAGCCCCAGCTATTCTTATTTTTTTTATACCTTTTTTTGGGGGGGGGGTGGGGAAGATTAGCCCTGAGCTAACTACTGCCAATCCTCCTCTTTTTGCTGAGGAAGACTGCCCTGAGCTAACATCTGTGCTCATCTTCCTCTACTTTATATGAGGGACGCCTATCACAGCATGGCTTGCCAAGTGGTGCCATGTCCGCACCCGGGATCCGACCTGGCAAACCCCGGGCTGCTGAAGCGGAATGTGCGAACTTAACTGCTGCGCCACTGCATTGCCCCCTGCTATTCTTATTTCTAATGATAGATTTTTAATTTCCTCTATGTCTACCTAACGTGAAGATAGGGCTTCTTTATTTTCTAAAAGTAAAAGTTCTTTTAAGAGAATTATACCTTTGGTGACCCTTGCAAATGTGGGGGTAAATTAATTTGCTCATTCATCCATCATTCATTCTGGCTAGCAATCCAAGTAGTGCCTGAGATATTGATGGCATTGGCCCCCAGGGGGCCACCTCCATGGGTCCTTGAGATAGTCACCTGAGTGAATTTGCCCAGAAGATAGTTGATAGTAATCCAGCCATAGGCGCCTTCTTCTTGGCCAGTGATGATTCTGGCACCCTGGAAGTCAAAGGGGTATCTGCTAAGGCTGTTCGTCACCGTATTCAGGACCCTGTTTGCCAATGGTTCGTTTTCTATCCTGCACAAGGGAAGAGCTGAATTACTGGTTTTGTTTTAATAACTGCAAGTACCTATTTAATTTATTTGTTTATTTATTTATTTGAGGAAGATTAGCCCTGAGCTAACTCCTGCCAATCCTCCTCTTTTTGCTGAGGAAGACTGGCCCTGAGCTAACATCCATGCCCATCTTCCTCTACTTTATATGTGGGACGCCTACCACAGCGTGGCTTGCCAAGTGGTGCTATGTCCACACCCGGGATCCAAACCAGTGAACCCCAGGCCGCTGAAGCAGAACTTGCAAACTTAACCGCTGTGCCACTGGGCCGGCCCCAACAACTACCCATTTTAGCCGCAGCTTCCAGTCAGTTCTCCTGGGAAGTGAACCATAAGTCACTAAAATAAACAGAGAGACGGAGATCTCCACACATTGCTATCTGAAGGGCCCTCCTTTTGGGGGAGGCAGAACTAGTCTTTTGGCTGCCTCTCTCCAAATCCAAATCCTTCCAATCCCTGCATGGGTTGGTCTTCCTGAAATACCATTTTCAATGTTTTCCCTGGCTCTTAAAAATCATCAAAGTCATTTAAATGACTATGGCGGTGGCAACTAGGTGTTGTTTGATCACCACAGTGACCGCTGACGTGTGCTACATTAGCCATTGCTGGTGGCTCCTAGCTGTTTACATAGCCAGGCTCTGTTTGAGGTTTTTTAATTAGGGCTCTAGTAGACACCAGGTGGCAAATGTCCTGGGACAGATACCCAACCTCCTTTGGCGTCAGATCAGAAAAAAATCTTCCTCATATTGTGCTTCAGTTCCTGGGTCTATTTGAGAGACCTAGAGGGAAACTTCGAAAGTTGTCATAATAAAGACGGGATGTAATTGCTTCCAGGATGTAGGCTATGCAATATGGACAGCCTCTGTCAGAGGATGCTGCCTTCTAACTGCACTAGAACCCTGTAATCTCTCATCAGTACGGCTTCCATACCCTCCCAAACAGCCCCCTTACCCTTAGTTTTCCTCCCCTCCAGTCCACCTTCTTTTCCAGTGTCACCAGTTGTGTAACACCCTTTAATGGCTTCCCATTATCTCCCAGATGAACTCCAAACTCCCTAGCGTGGCCCACAAGGCACTTTGTGATCTGGAAGCTGCCTTCTCAGAATCCCACTCAGAATCCTGGCTCTACCACTTACCAGGTGTGTGACTTTGGATAAGTTACTTAACATTTGTAAGCCACAGCTTCCTTATCTGGTTAAAAATAGTTAATAATACCTCTTATTTCATAGAGTTTTGATGAATAAATTAAAAGCACAATGCCAAGAACAAAGCAAGGGCTCAACAAATACAAGCTGCCATCCTCCTCCTCCTCCTCCTTTTTATTATTTTACTCTATGCCCTCTATGTTCTATCCATGCAGAACTATTTCTAGTCCTCTGAACATGCCCTGGTCTCTTACACATCCCTGCCTTTGCACATCTATTAGAACACAAGCTCCAGGAAGGCAGGGACTTTGTCCTCTTCACTGCTGCATCCCTAGGACTTAGAACAATGCCTGACACATAACAGGTGCTGAGTAAACATGGGTTATGGAAAGCACACTGTCTGGTCTGCCAGTAGTGCCCTTCTCCAACTCTCCAACTCATCCTTCATGATTCAGCTCATATGTCCCCTCCTCTGGTAAGTCTTCCTGATCTCCTCCCATTCTGGCAGGGCCAAGTGTGCTCCCATAGCAGCTCTGTGCACTCTTCTCTTAAAGAATTGATCACCCTGTATTGAAACTCTGATCTCCTTGAGGGTTGAAGGCACCTACTTCCATATCCCAGGACAGAGTAGGCAGTCAGTACATGCTGAATGAGTGAAGAACAAACAAACAAATAATGCACACAAGTACTAAGTGGTGAGAAATAAAGATGTGCTAGTTGTGATTATTTATGTCTTGGGACACCCATGAGTCTCCTCTGGTCTTCCTCCTCACAGATATTGAATGGCTAAATCTGTAGCCCCAAATCCCAGAATATATAGGCTCAGTCTTTCTCTCTTTGTGCCCTCACCTATTTGAATTCCCTGTGGGGAGATGGGCAAGAGGGCTTTTTCAACACTGAAATTTCCACCATTACTCATAGTAAGAGTTTGGGAGTTTTACCCACTTAATGAAATTTTCTTTCTTAGGTGTGGACATTTACAATGTTTAGAATTTGGGTCTTAGGCAAGTGTGGCTTTCTCCCATAACTTCAGAGGCTTTTGCACTGCCAACTCCAACTCCCAGCCACTGTTGATCCCTACGTGCTGCTGTACCTGAGCAACCGCATGCCTGCCGTGGCTCCCAGGTAAACAGGTGTCTCTTGGTGCTGGGACTGTGGAACCACTTCCTTGGCTCTTTCCATGCATTCAGCCAGATAAAGTTCTATGTCATTTACTCTTTGAGCATATTTTGAGATTCCAGGACCTAGGGAAAGATGTAGAAGCAGATGACAATATTTTTTAAAAGTATAGGACATAACCTTGACAATATTAGAGCAAATTACTGATGTTTTTTGAGCAAATTCAAGAAGACAATTTCTTGATGTGATATATATTAGGTTGTTGTACTCAGAGGATAACTCACTGAACCTCGCCTTCATAGGACTTTTCAGACCTTGGGCTGGGTCTGTCTGCTGTTCAATAATTTGCCACTGGATGGTGCAATTTTCACATTCAGTTGCATAACCTTCCTAACTGGTCTCAGATTTTAAGGGGGATCTTATAGATAGTACTATATAAAGCTTCTTTTTGATGTTTCTTCCACAAGTTGTAATTAACAACACTAATTCCTAGAAGACCTGAAAGGAGAAATACGACATTTAAAACAAAAATTAAAATAAACACCAGGCACACTGGCTTTTACTTAAAAGATAGAAACTGCTACTAACTAGCTATGTGATCACGACCAGTCCCCTAAAATTTCTGAAGTGGAGTTTTTTCTTTTTGAGAAATAAATGACAAGCAATAGGATATACTGAAGTATATGAGTAAGCCATTTGCTGTAAAACTAATTTGGCCTGAACTTGTTTTCCCAAAAGGGCCTGACATGGCCAGAAAGCATGCATTTTATATCTGCTTTAAATATTTACTATGTCCCAAAGACAAGAATAACGCCCTTAAAGATAAGACTGTAACTTCCCCCACATTAGCATTTTCTTATGGATAAGCATCTCTCCCTAAACTAAGGATTGATTTCTGGCCTGCTGCATTCACCCCGTGACCACCCAGCTGAGACCACAGACCTGCTACCTGCTGTGTTCATCAACTGCTGTGTGAAATACTGTGCCAGCAAAGCAATCATGGCTATTGTAAAAGGGACTTTGTAATCATATGTGATACATGCTCTTTGACGTGTATCTCTCAACCCCTACTCCTTTGGAGTGCTCCATTCCTTTGTGAAAGGACTCTTCTGGGCTATATGGGCCTCAGATCTGGCTCATAATAAACTCACTCCAATTTTGATTTATACGTTGGTTATGGATTATTTGCGTTGACACTTTGTTAGAAGAAACAGGAATAGAATCCATGTCTCCTAAGTGATTTTTCTACTCTGATACCCTGCCTCCCTAGTAAAATTGTTTTTACAGTTTTAGAGCAAAACTAAGTGCTGCTATGGAAAGGGTTAGAGCCAAGATTCCCTAAGCTTTTTGAAGTTAACATTTAATAATTTCAGCTCACTTTAAGATGAACATCTATACCATCAATGCTATTTATAGTGAGGATTTGTTTTAAGATAACTATCCAAATATGTTATCCATATTATCCACAGGTTTTTAAACAGCCTATTTACTTAACCATAAAGACAAAATTAGCTCTAACTTATCAGCTAACTGTTTTGATTCCAAAAGTCTGGCCTTTAAGAATTGGTGGCTTTAAACTCACCTTTTATCTAAATATTTGAGTCTTTCTCTTTGGAGAGGGGAAAATGACTGCATTGGTTAGGACAGATACCCAGGGTGAATCTCAGGAGATGGATATATACTAGATTAAAACAACAACAACAACACTTTTAAAAATAGAAGCAGTGAATTAAATAGAAGTCAATAAAATGAGAGATTTGGGATTTAAGAAATGCTTGAAGTACTGTCTCAGAATTCATGGGGCCTAAAGTCTAAGGCCATCAGGCTGCTGGGTAGAATTATTTGCTCTCTTGGAAACATCTCCTCGTGACTGCTTTTTTGACAAACTATGAAAACTAGTAGACCCTACAGGTCACACAATTAAAAGTCAATTATCTTCTGGGGTCTAGGTTACCTGTCTGAGTAAAAATAAACAATGGGTCCCTGGCTCAAAAGGCCGAGAGAGAGAACGGTCAGAGAGATGATGGTGCGTTGTGGTAACATTGGGTGCATGCTGGGGTGTTGGATGGGAAGAAGTGAAAAGAACTGAACTGTCAACCACTCTAACTTGTTTTGTGACCTTAAAAGAAAACTAACCAGGAAAATAAATCAATATGTAATCCAGTGATTCAGAGCAGCAGGAAGCCTGGACTGCGGTTAGGAGACCCTGATTCTTGTCCTGGTTCTGTTGCTACTTGCAAGTCACTAGTCTTCCAGGGTTTTTCTTCCTTCTCTGTAAAACAAGATTTAAATGATCCACAAGGTCCTTTTCCAACCCTAAAAATCTTTGATTTGGCCTTCTCTGCCTAGGGTCCATAGAACTGCTTCTCTTAATCCTTGTCCTCTAATCTACAGCTCGGAAGAAATTTTTGAAAGCCTTTAGCTAGCTATGGACCAGCAGCATCATTTCCTGGGAACTTATTAGAAATGCAGATTCTGAGGGCTCATCCCAGACCTCCTGAATCAGAAACTCTAGGGGTGGGGCCTAGGCGCTGTAACCAACCCTACAGGTGGCTCTGAAGCAGATTCAAATTTGAGAACCACTGGCTAAGACGTGGGTTAGAAGTTAGGCACATCTCCATTTGAACCCCAGTTCTATCACTTACTAGCTTAAGCAACTTTAAATAAGGTGGTATAACCTCTCTCAAACTCAGTGCCCTCATTTTAAAAAATGCGAAAAATAATACATACCTCAAAGGGAGATTGTGAAGATCAAATAACGTATTTTCAGCACTTAGTTGGTGCATGACACACAAAAGTGTCTCGTTGATGGGAGTTACTATTACTCAATTATTTGTAAGTTTGCTTATTCTTCAAGGGTTTGATCATTAAGAACTGATTTCAGTATTATTTTTATAATGATAATAAAATAACAACAATAGCATCTCCAATGTGTGCTTCACTTGACTTCCTTTTTCCCGTGTGTTCCACCTGCCATACACCTTTCACGTTCTCCCGCCCCACTGTCTCCCCTTCCCCTTTTCCTCATCTTACCTTTTACCTTGCATTCTTCTATCTGATGCACCACCCCCGTGTCATTCTCCTTTTCTGCTGGCCACGTATAGATGTATAAACTCGTGTGAGAAGAGCCCGCATCCAGTACAATCCCATACTGAGGACAAAACAAACCAAGAACTTATCAACATTACATCATTCTTCTCCATATTCAGCTTGCAACTGAAAAAAGGCAAAGATAGGAGTTTTCAGAAACATGAGGAGAAAGTATTTTAATTCAAGAGGAACATGGGTGAGGGGGGGCATGTGCGCCTGGAGTTGTCCTGATCACAAGATCTACCAGGACACCAACTCCTCTAGAACAGTGGCCCTCAATACTGGTTGCACATTAGAAATATCCAGGCCTTACCCTAGGTGGGGCCCGAGCATTGGTATCGTTTAGAAGCTTCTCAGGTGATTCTAATGTGCAGTCAAGATTCAGAACCATATGCTGAAATAGCTGAGGCAATATGCAGGAAATAGAAAGCCATTCATCCCGTGGTTCCCAAACTTGTATGCACATCGGCATCATGAGAATCACCTGGAGAGCTGCAAATGCTACTGATGCCTGAGTCCAAGCCCCCAGATAGGGGATTGAATGTGGCCTGGGCTTTGGAAGAGAGACATGGAAGATACTAAGTGTGCTTGCTTTTTAATTACAAAAACCTGTAAATTGTATTAAATAAAATTTAAAAGCTATGTACTTTAACTTCATGTTTTTGGCTCTTAAGAGTAGGGGGAGATGAAAGGAAGAAAAAAGGTAGGAGAAGAGGAAAAAAGACAGCACAAGGAAGAACTAAATGGGCAGAGGAGAACGGGAGAAGAACAAAGTCACCACCTCACATTTCAGGAGAACATGAAATGTACCAGGTAGGCGTTGTATGAAGCATTTTACAAGAATTATCTGACTTAGCCCTCAGAACAGTGCTGTAAAGTAGGTACTATTTTTCTCCCCCACAGAGGCGAAAAAGAAGTTAAGTAATTTACTCAAGATACACAGCTAATAGGTGACAGAGCCTGGATCTGGATCAGAGTTAGACTCAAGACCTTATGCTCCTTATCAGAGAAATATAGGAACAAGAGCTGGACAATAGCTTTCAAATTGATGCCCCCTTATAAGAACTTTTTTTTTTTGAGGAAGATTAGCCCTGAGCTAACATCTTCTGCCAATCCTCCTCTTTTTGCTGAGGAAGACTGGCCCTGAGCTAACATCCATGCTCATCTTCCTCTACTTTATATGTGGGACACCTACCACACTTGCCAAGCGGTGCCATGTCCACACCCAGGATCTGAACCAGTGAACCCCGGGCCGCCAAAGCGGAATGTGCACTTAACTGCTGCACCACCAGGCTGGCCCTGTAAGAACTTTTAATGAGGGATAACTATAGCAAAGTGTGCAAATCTTAGGTGTGCATCCCAATGAATTTTTGCATATGTGCACATCCATATAAACTATCACCAAGATCAAGACACAGAACATTTTCTAGTCCCCAGAAGGCTTCCTGGTGCCCCTTTCAGTCAGTTGCCCCCATGGGTAACCACTGCCTTAACTTCTATCACCATAGATGAGTTTCGTCTGTTTTTGAACTGCAGTAAATGGACTGACATAGTGTGCTTCCTTTATGTCTAACTTCTTTCACTCTATACTATGTCTCTAAGATGCATTCAAACTGAGTGTGTCTGTAGTTCAGCTTTTTTCATTGCTGTAGAATATTTCGTTATGTGCATATACTATATTTGTATCTATTCTACTGTTGATGGACATTTGAGTTGTTTCCAGATTGGGACTATTAGGAAAATAGCCGCCAGAAACATTCCTTTACATGTCATTTTAGGGACATGAGCTCCCATTTTTTTGGGGTGTTTACCCAGGACTAGACTGATAGACAAATGCCTGTTTTGATCAGTTGATATTCATCTTTGCTTATATCCCTGGGTTTAATCAGGAAAAAAAATGCCATGATTGAATAACGAAGTCTGCCATGGGCTTCTGAGGAGAGCATGGTGGCACATGACTCTTTATTTATCATCCCTATACTAGAGAAAAGCATGGAGGAAAGTAAACAGGGAAGTAAAGGAAGAGAAGCAGAGGAGGCACTTCTGAAATGTGAGCCAACTACTCTCCTCACACTTTGCGGCTCATTTGAGCTGTGGACCCCAAAAGGTGGTCTGCCATTGATAATGCTTAATTCAGTAGCTGTTTTATATATATCCCTTCATATTGTCTTAGCACATGGTAAGAACCTAAGAACCTCCGGGGAGAAAAGGAGACAGTAGCGAGGATTCAAAAGATCTTTCCAGACCACTGGGGATAGGTAAAAGTAGAGCCTCTCGAGGCATCAAGCTTTATTCCATTTCACCACAGACCAGAGAGTATCACCATGCTGGTGGGGTGAGGATCCTTGATCCTCCATAACCCCCCCAGTGTTCTCCGTCTTGTGAGGCACGGCAGGGATTCCCTGTGGTAGTTAGCATTATGCCCTTACAAAGAAAAAGGCCTGCATACTTGCTTCAGGCATGGCAAGGAAGAAAGCTGGACAGACTCCTCTGCAGCTAGATTTGCAGTGAGAGGAAACCAAGAATTGGCTTAAGGTGGTGACTGTTGTGGGCAGAGAGGGATCTGACTGAGTTCTGGGGCCTTTGGACCCATGGGAAACCTCCCATGGCAGAGAAAGAGGCTCAAGGATTACACAGCAGAAAACTCTCTTGTTCCCTAGCAGGGCCCCTGAATTCTTCCTGCCAGAAAATGTTCCAACCACAGCAGCATATGATAAAAGGTAGTGAGGCAGAAGCAGCAAGCAGCCTTTATCTGGAATCAGGACGTTCTAGTCTGTCTGACATTGTTGACATGAAAGTCACTCTTCAAATAGAGCAGAGGAACCAGGCTTGCTTCTATCAGTCTGTTTCTCGAAGGTCTTACACAGTGTGGTGGTTGAGAAATGAAAGATTTTACTACATTTTCATTTGGCAAGTGGTTGAGAAGGGGATACAGCATACTTTAACACAGGAACTGAGGACATTTCACCTTGTGTATACAGCAGACTGGAATACTAACCTGTTGAATTGTGCCAAATGTTTTTTGTCTTCTAAAATGGTTTGCAGAATAAAACACTGGCATCGCTTACTGCCTGAAGGACAGATAAAGCTTGATTGTCTGAAAACTCTCAGTTTGAGCATTTTGGGAATTTGCCTTTTGTTGTTATAAAACTGTCAGCATATTCACTCCTTTTTCATAGCTGGCCCATTTTAGAGCTAGAGTTCATTCCATCTAATCTTCTCATTTTATAGATGAGACAGTGTGTCCAGAACAGTTTAAGGACTTGCCTAACGTGGACGGATGGTTAATGCCTTAACAGATCCAGAGCCCAGGTAGCCACCACCTTTTGTTCTCTTTCACCACACCAGCATTTCCCAATGTGTGTTCCAGAAAGCAATAAGTCTGCAAGGATCTGCGTGAATAAACCTTCCCAGAAGTTTGGAGAATGCTGCATGCTTTCTCTCTCCTGGGCTCAAGAACCCACTAGGTAGTGAATACTTCAGAGAAGTCTGACAGTGGGAGAAACCCAGACTCAGTGACAACAGAATTCTGTTTTAAATAAAATCTCTACCCTACAGAAATGCTGTCTTGCCATGCTAGCGTGTTTACCCAATGTTTAAACTCATATTTAAAACATTTCAAAAAGTATGTCTTCCACATTAAAGAAAAATCAAAGATTTGGGTGATGAGGAAGAAATCTGACATTCCTTTAGTATTATAATTTCAATATTACTTTCTATTTTGAGAGTACTAAAAATTTATCAAATAGCATCTAGAAAATGAAGGGAAGCAGAAAAAAAAATTGATTCCACCAACTGGATTTCACTGTTATTTTTATTTATTTCCTTCCAGTATTTTTTAAATGCATGATAATTTTTATATAGTTGTAATCTTACTGTGCCTACAACTTTGTCTTGTTAGTTTTGATCATACATATGATTTTAGTGATCATAACTGATCTTCATGAGCTGTGTCAGCTGAACAGAAGCAGTGATCTAGAAGAAGGAACAGTAGAAATGACCTTGCTTGGTTCATGGAGACACCAATGTAGGGGCGTTGGTATAGACCTGAAGATGTGGATGGCAACAGACCCTGAGCTCACAGAGACTGGAGGCCATGTGGTGGTGGCCTTAGGATGAAAATAATTCTACCTGCACAAATGTCATAGGTCCAGGCTTCTGGGTAAGTCTCCCTAGATGTGGAAAGAGAGAAAACTGGAGCATCAGATGATCTACTTCTGTTCCTGGCTCTGCAGAAGTGGGATGTTCAACCCTCTGCTCTGAGTCTTCTCATGCAGAAAACACTGCCTTCACACTGGTCTGCTCCCACTTCTCCTACGGGCCACATGGCTTCTGTTCCAGAGCCTTTGCCCAGAAAGCCCTTTACCTGAGATCCCAAGCTTCTCTGAACTTCTCAGATTCAATTCTACCCTCCTAATCCAAGTCTTAGACTGCTTGTATTTTTCCTCTAAAGACAGCACTTACCTCAAGGTGCAATTAACATATTTATGTGGCTATTTGATTAATGTCTGTCTTCTCTATTAGATTGTAAGTTACATTAGGGCAGGTCTGTTTTGCTTACCGTGGTATATCCAGCACCCACCATGGTATATATCCTACTGTATGTCTGGCACAAAGAAGAAGTTGACAGACAATTGCTGAATCAAATGAATGAAGGAGAGGGGTTAGAACTATATGGTTCCTAAACTCCTTCCAGTCCAAAAAGAGGTTAATATTCACAGTCTAATATAAAGAGTGCCATTGGTGTTGAGTTCCACCACCACTACCATCCCACCCAAAAAACCCCATAAGCCACGTAACATGGGCAATAGTGTGATAATTCTTTTGCTCCCTTCAGACATATCAGTTGTGAATCTTTCTTAAAAGTCCCTGTGGCTTTAACGTAACTTTGGCAACCTCATCAGTCTGTCTCAGTGAGTCCTTTTGAATAAACAAAGCTTATCCTTTGAATGTGACTCTAGTACTCTTTAAACAAATCAGGTCTCCATTAGCTACAGTGATGCAGGCAAGGCCTATAAACAATTAGAGACCTTTTTTTTTCTTGCTTTTTTCTTTAATTGGAGTAACTAGACCCTTAAAATACAAACCACAGTTTTGTTGTTTTCATTTTTTAACCTATGTTAAAATAGACAGAACATAACATGGGCCATTTTAACCATTTTTAAGTGTACACTTCTGTGGCATTAAGTATATTCATATTGTTGGGCAACCATCACCACCATCCATCTCCAGGTGTTGTTTTTTAAACCAGATGTTAAAATCCAGTGGAGTAAAAATAATATAGATATTTTCCAGGAGTATTTTAGGTTGAAACTTGGAGCAAATCCTTCCAAATTCTCCATAAAAAGATAAAATTTCAAATGCTTATCTAAGAACAGTACTTTAGTTCCTTAGGAAAAAGCAGAGGCATGGGGACAGGTCATCACTCTAGCAGCAGCTGGAAATCCCGGGAGTGCTAGCTTAGTAACCATAACACACTACAGGTAAGGGCTTTCCCTAGAAATCATCTCCCTCAAAACAGTGTTGACAGCTGGCTTTCACTGAGGGATCTGATAAGTGAGTCACAGGTATTATTCCATTTAATCCTCACAACCGTCTTCCAAGTAGGTACTATCTCCATTTTACACAATAAGGAAACTGAGGCCTAGAGACAGGAATTTACTTGCCCAAAGTCTCACAGCTGGAAAGTAGCAGATCTCGGATTGAAATAAAAGCCTTCTGGTCCCTAAGCTGGCATTCCACAAAAGTGGCAGCTTTTAATGAAGGCATGTGTTTTGGTATGAGGGTAGTCTGCTGCCTCCGAGAGAACCCTGTGGGGCTCCGTGTGCACCAGAATGTAGAACGTTTGTGCTAAAAGGAATGTCTGACAACTTGCTAACTGCTAGTGTTCAGTGACGAGCAGGCAATTAAGGAAGTGGTGAACCAGGCAGACCTCAAAGCTACCTCTCTCCCCACATCCACCAGGACAAAGGCACTTTCCCAAGGGAAATTTAGGGACAGCTAATGATTCTTCAGTTCATTAAGGCCTATGTCTTTTTTAAATGGCCATCGCGTATCTAGAGGGCAGTAGTTCCCAGACTAATGGCATGAGAATGCCCCAGGGTGCCTGTTAAACGTGTAGATTCCCAGGCCCTGCAGCCCGGAGGTTTGAAATGAGTAGGCTCTGGGGGTGAGAATGGGAACCAAGATCTCTAGGGGATCCTGAGGCAGGGCCTGCCTCCCACACTGACAAACCCTGCCATCAGGCTGGTCCTTCCCATGCTCTTCACATCCAAGGAGAGACCAGCTTTACTTGTTCAAGATGCTCATTCTATTCATTGAGTCAGCAAACTTCTATGAGGCAACCACCCAAGTCATATGCTGTGCTGGTTGTAATTTAACATTTACTTTGTGATTATTTGATTAATGATTATCTCCTTCCACTAGATTATAAGCTCCATAACGGTTAAGGCCTTTGCCATTCTTGCTTACTGCTATATCCCTACGGCCTAAAATAGAATAGATGGTCAATGACTATTTATTAAATGAATGAACTGAGTGAATGAATAATAAAATGTATGCAAAGACAAATGAAACCCAGTCTCTGTTCTCAATATGCTTACAACCTTGCCAGGTTGCTGGTAGCTGGGCAAGTAACCACATCAGTACAATAAAGAGTTCTGTGCTTTGGCAGATGTGGCCCAGGCCTAAGGCTATCACCTCCCCAGAAAGGCTGAACCCAAACTGGGTCAGACAGGAAGATAACAAGACTGGATCATCAAGACTGGAGGGCTGACCTGAGCTGGGCTAGACAAAGGCAAGTCAGATGGAAGAACTGGGGATACAGGTAAGTGGCAGTTTGTCACCAGGTAGACAGGTGGCGAAGATGATAATATATGAGCTACCAATCATTGAGTGTCCACAGTGGGCCAGGACTTCTGCTCCGCAATTTGCATTTGGATTTACTTTATCCCAGTTACTTCTTACAGTAGTCTACAAGATATCAATTATCAGTTCCATCTTACAAGTGGAGAAACTGAGGCTCAGAGAGCTTAAGTCCTGGGACTATAAGAGCAAAGCTGGGGTTCAACCCCAGGCAGTGTGAGTCCAAGGCCCATGTTGTGTCGCACTCTGGGCAGGCAGAAGAATTATCCCTGCAAGGAGAACAGGGATGAGGAATCAGAGGAAGTGGTAGAGAGACAGCTGGAAGTCTATCCATCTATGAAGTTGCACCAAGAGACGCTTATGGCCACCACCCTTTAAATAGAAGCATGCAGAGGTTGTTCTCAACATTATTGTCCCAAGGTGTTCCATCTTGATCTTAAAAGGAATTTGATTACTAAGATCTGGTCAACCTAAGTGTCTCTGACATTATCCCCTCACCCCCCTGCCAATAGCTTAATTCCAGTCTCATCTGCCTTGTCTAAAGGCAGTTTAGACAGCCTAGGAGCATCCTAACTGGTCTCTCCTCTTCAAATCTGCTCTCCAGATGAAAGGACTCCTGGGAACGTAAATCTGGGGATCACCTCCCTGACTGAAAGCCTTCAAAGCAGTGGTTTGCAATCATGGCTGCTCGTTAGAATCACCTGGGAAGCTTTTAAAACACACCAATGCCTGGGCTTCACCCCTAAAGATTCTGATTTAATTGACCTTAGGGTAGGGCCCAGACACGAGTATTTTTTTAAAAGCTCCCCAGGTGCTTCTAATATGGAACAGGCTTGAGCACTACTGCAATTTAATGGATGAGACACCCACTCCTTAGTGTCCCTTATTACTTGGCCCCAAGGCCGCCTCCTCCATGAAGTCTTCATGTGACCAGGCACAACTGGTGGCTCCTTCTTCTGGACTTTCATGTATTAATATGTCTCTAATGTATTGGAACTCTTTGTACAAATGACTCTTCCACGAAAAGCAACAGGTGCAGTGATGCTTCAGCTACCTCTTGTGGCCACTGCACATCTTCTTGGCCAACTTTTTACTCCAGGACCAGCTGTACCTTCTCATCGCTCAGCCCAGGGACTTCTCTCCTGTTAGGCCACCCATGGTACCCACACAGCCCCTCTGACAGATGTGTAAACCTGGAAGTGCCAGAGAGTTAACACCCAATGGGGCAACCCTTGACCAACAGAGGATGAGAACCAGGGGATCAATCCCCAAGGCAGACGAATCTGAAGTGCTCTCTCCACAGCTCTTCAGAGGGTCCTAGTGGGATCAAGCCTCAGGTGCCCAATGTGGTGATCTACTCATAATGCCCTCTTTCTCTGTTTCCTTGGGATCATTTCCCAAAATAAACATCCTGCGTTCAATTTCTGTTATTAGGATGTGTCATTTGGAAAAACTCAGACAAATGGAAAGAACATTAGTCTTTGGGTCAGAAAACTGGGTTCTAGTCCTAGCCTCACCTATACCTAGCTCAAGAGAACCTTGAAGACACTCATTTTATGATCTATAAAATGAGGATAATCTTTTATTCTTGACAGCACTCCTGGGAAGAAAAAATGGAAACGATTTATAAACTGCAAAGCACTATATAAAATAATGTCATCACTATGCTTTAGGAGGAATTCCTTTACTATTCAACCTTTAAATGATAGAATCCCTCAGGACTTGGTCCTTACCCTCTTCTCTTCTCACATTTTACCCCCTTCCTATGATCTAATCCATTTCTAAGGCTTCAATACATCAATGACATCACAGACATATCTTTAGTCTAGATCTATGCTGTCCAATAAGGTAGCCACTAGCCACATGTGGCTACTGAGCACTCGAAATGCTAGTCTGGTTGTGTTTTTTTTTTTGCTGAGCGAGATTTGCCCTGAGCTAACATTTGTTGCTAATCTTCCTCTTTTTTATGTGAGCCACCACCACAGCATGGCCACTGACAGATGAGTGGTGTAGGTTCATGCCCAGGAACCAAACTCAGGCTGCCAAAACAAAACACAACAAACTTAACCACTAGGCTACCAGGGCTGGCCTGAGATGTGCTTTAAGTTAAAAATCACAGTGGAATTTGAATATAGGATGAAAAAAAGAATGTAAAATATTTCATCAGTAATTCTTTATTTTGGGGCCAGCCCAGTGGCGCAGCAGTTAAGTGCACACATTCCACTTTGGTGGCCCCGGGTTCATCAGTTCGGATCCCGAGTTTGGACATGGCACCACTTCACAAGCCATGCTGTGGTAGGCATCCACATATAAAGTAGAGGAAGATGGGCACAGATGTTAGCTCAGGGCCAGTCTTCCTCAGCAAAAGGAGGAGGATTGGCAGCAGATGTTAGCTCAGGGCTAATCTTCCTCAAAAATAAAAAAAAAATTCTTTATTTTGATGAAATGTTGAATGATAATATTTTGGATGTATTGGATTACATAAAATATATTATTAAAATTAATTTCACCTCTTTCCTTCTACTTTTTTAAAATCTGACTCCTAGAAAAATTAAAATGTGGCTTGCATTATATTTCTATTGAGCAGTGCAGGTCTACATTTCTCTTCTCTGCCATCCAGATCTGATTATCCAATTGCTTCTTTGACATTTCCTCTTGGATGTCCAGTACCTCAAAAACAATTCTTCAAAAGTTGAACTCAAAATCTTCCCCTCCTTCCAAACTACTGTAATAGTCTCTTACCTAATCTCCTACATATGCTTTTATCCCCCCTCTAATTCATTGCAGCCAAAGTGATCTTTTCAAAACACAAATCTGATCATGTCACTGGCTTGCCATTGCTCTTAGGATTAAAACTAAAATCCTCACCCTGTCTTGCAAAGCCATACCTGCACCACCTCCTTCACCATCCTTATCCAACTGATGGCCCACTCTTGCTGGCCAACCAGTTTCTGGGAGGTATCCAACTACCTCCTGCTGTGAGATTCTTATACTTACTTGCCTTTACCTGGAATACTCTTTATCTATCTCTTCCCTGCTAACTTCTAATAATCCCTCAGATATTATTTCTTTCAGGGAGGACTTCCCTGGCCTCCAAAACTTTCATTTGGTGGCCATCATAACAATTGTAATTAATAATTTGTGTCATCTATTAGATGTGTTTACTTATCCAGGCTGTAAGCTCAATCATATCTATATTGGCTTCCCAATTGTGTAGCCCCATGCCCGACACAGACACTTAATAAAATAATTGTTGATGCCTAAGTTTATGAACAAATGAATGAAGAGATGCTGAATGAGGTATGGTCGTAAAGAGATGATATGTGTTTTTAAAACAAATGTACCAGGTACAAATATCCAAATAAATGTTATCTTTTTATCATCATTTTTGGAAGGAAATACATTTATTCCAACACACTACTCAAAACCATTTAGTAGCTCATGATATTTGGGATGATCTTGGTTATTAGCTTATAAACTACACAAGAAAAAAGTCTCATTTGTTGATCCTTGTTTTAGATTTTATAAAATGTTTTATCATACCGCTAATGCATCAAACTTAGTTTTGAATTATTTCAGAGATATTATCAAAGAGTATGCTCTAAAGTAGCAATGTCCAACAGAACTTTCTGCAGGAATGGAAATGCTTTATGTCTGCACTGTCTGATTTAGTAGCCACCAGCCACTTGAGGCTCTTGAGCACTTGAAATGTAGCTAGTGCAACTGAGGGACAAAGTTTTCTCTTTGATTTGATTTTAATTAACTTAAGTTGAAAGAGCTACATGTGGCTAATGACTATCAAATTGGACAGCCTACGTAGCTTAAAGCCATCAGCAAAGACAAGTTCCTAAAATATTTTTGCCCTCAATATATGCCAGGCATCTTATTAAAATTAGTGTATAACCTCAACAAATGACTAGTTGGAATGTATAAAATGATCTTTGCGTAAAATAAACCAGTGATATTACTATAAAGATTCAGTTCAGATGCCAGTATCTGTTCTTCAGATATTCATAGCTTTTATTTAAAGAATGCTAAAGAACTTGTTCCATTTTACCAGGCCAACACAAGAACATGAATCACAACAGACTTGAAGACTACCACTGAGAATGAGAGAAGGTCACCCATGACCGCAAGTATTCAGTCTTGGGAACACAGAGGGAACACAGAGCTCAAGTCTCATGGCTTTTGCCTCCTAGGCAGTCCTCCTCTCCAATGATGCAATAATGAACATGTGAAAAGGTCAAATCAAGAAGGCAATCATGTACTTTTGGAGCTGGCAAACAAACAGCAGAACTGAGATGTCATTAGGCTTCAACTGTGAGTGAGGTTTTGCCAAGAAAGCCGACATCACTCAATATTAAAAGGCAAGAAACCACTGACAATGAGAAAGTATCAGCCTTCCATGCTGACAAAGGGGCTGCTGTGCACAGCCCCACCGAGTTGAATTTTTATGTCAAACTGAAGCCAATGTAACATCCAGGCCTCTGCTATAGAGCAAGTGATCTGGATGGGTGGCAGAAGTTTCAGAGGCTTGGCATATGCTTCCGTCTTTCCAGGCTCACAGTTTAGTATCTTCAAATACAAGAAAATATACTTCTTCACATGTATTCCAGGGCCTCCATGGTCCAGTTAACTTCTGGCTATGTCACTGCCCACAGTACATACGTGCTAATTAATTAGCATATTGGTATATTCTGGGCCCTTGCAGATTTATTTACTGTAATTTCAATGAAAGTTTCAAATGGTGTATTTATCATATAAATTTAAATTTACCATGCTTTTAAATTAATGGATTAAACAAAATAAGGACCATATTACAAAGTACTTGTGAGATATTCATGTCTTTCAAATTTTACTTTGATGAATTTGAAAGGAAGCAGAACTAAATCACAACAGAGTTAACAACCCCAATTATTTTTAATGACATTAACCAGCTCTTCAAATGTGGAAATTCCACAGGAAATCTGTCCATCCATGAGTTCATTTCAAACTACTATATTTGATACATGTATGTGTTCTCTGGGGTTTTTAAATTGATTTTGCTGCTTTAATATTATTTAATATTTAATATCTTTAATATTTTGGAGATGAGGAACAAGTCTTCTCCACAATCTTTGACTTCCAAAGTACTTTATATAGAGCAGTCTAATAAATGTTATTTTGGTGATTGTGATAATTATGGAGAAAGAAGAACAGAGTGCAGTGTTATGACATATCCACAGTGAAACTATGAGTAAGAAGTACAGATTATACTAGATTGTAGGATATCAGCACAGTACAACACAGATCTGGATGTGGTGAATAAAGTATTTGTTTCAGTTAGACGATCGATTTAATTAATTTGCTGAACAATTATAAGACAATTCTCTTCCCACCACTAATTGACTCAAGGCACACCCTCTTCCAGAATGAGCATCTGTTTCCATTTTACTCTCCTAATTCAATGGATATTGACTAGCTCCTGGGCTGCCGGAACCTCACCTCCTCCTGTATGGTCTGAGTCACCATAACCTCCCTCTACCTGCTGGCCCCTCCCAGCCTCCCTCATAAACACACACAAACACACAGATTTGAATTACCTTAACATTTTCTGGCAATGATTTATTCTGGGTCAACCCCACAGCAAGCAAAGCAACCACAGCCAGGATAAAGGAGAAGCCAAGGATGACCAGTAGATTTCTGGAACAAAATCTCTTCAGTTCAGAATCTAAAACCAAAAGCAGAAGAGAAAATAAGAAATCAACAGACATTGATTTTCCTCCCCTTTCTGTATGGTCTTGTGGTAGCTACATGGAGACATCAAAGATAGATAAAAGTTCATCTTTATCCATGAGATATTTGTGAAGTAATTGGGAAATAATTCAAGAACAAAAGGATTTGTCTGTACTCTGATAAGGGACAAGACTTAGTTAGTGGCTGTGGTAAGGTGAATAGACAGATTTGGTCAGTGATCAGATATGGAATGAGGATAGGGAAGAATCCCTAATTGGCAGTTTGTTTAATAGGTCATGCATCTCTATCAAGGTACAAGTGAAAAATAACAAAAAGCAAGACTAGCCCTCCTCATTTTTAAAATCCATCACCAAATATTGAAGATGTTAAAAAGTATTCAGAATATATGATCAGACATCAGAGTCTCACTACTCCAGGACACTTGCTGTCTTGACACAGCCTTTGCATTCCAACCACACTTATATGTTAAGTAATTGGTAATGCGTAGAGGCTGTGGAGTTTGGAACATTTCAGGTCATCATTTACATTATCTTATCTATTGTGTTCTTAGTCTCACTCCATCATGGTACATAAAAAAGCTCCAAGAGGAGAATTATATAAAAGGCAAAAGTTACTTTGATCAGAACAGAGCATATAGCAGAGGTAAACAGGAAATGGAATGGTTGCCCCATTCTCTCCATTCTAACAACTCACTCTCTTCCTCTCTCAAACTCCCAAACTTTTTCCTTAAGCTTTGGGGAGGAAGGATAGGACAAAGTAATAAAGCAGCATGTGGAAATGAGATGGGCGCTGCAGAACAGATTGCACTTCTCTAAGGATAGGGCATGGGATTAAAACAGCTGAAAGAGGAACCCAGGTCTCCTCCTGCTCTTCCCCTCCTGGTCAGCAGCAGCAGCTGCAGGCTGAAATGGGAGTTCCTCCTCAGGCTCTTGAGCAGAAGCTTGAACTTCATCCAATGGACTGTAACTGTATGGGTCTCCAGTCTGCATCAACCTCCAGAATCTTGAACCAGTCTTTAACCGTCAAAGAGTACAAAACTCAAGAGAAAAAGTTTTAACAACACCATTATCTATTGCTTCCCAAAAAAGGATCAATAAATGAAATATACAGCACTTCCCCCTTCTCTGCTCCCCAAAGAACCTCAATTTTGTTCAGATGCCTGCTAAGCAGCCCACATGCCTCATAGGAAAGAGCTACAACCTCAGCTCAAGGAAGGGCCTGATTATTCTGCATAATCTCATTCCTTCACCAGTGATTGGTTCAAGAATGGATAAGTACCCGAAAATAGTCCATGAGACCCTGGAGGAAGTCCGCTGGGGCAAGTCTAGGAAAAGAAAGGAAGCGCTCTCTCTTCTTCCTCAGACATTGTTCTGCCTGGATGAGATGACATCCAATGATGGCAGAGCAGAGAGATGGAGATAACTTGAATCCTTGATGGCATTTTGAGCTGCTAAAATAACCAACCCTGATCCAGTCCTCCCATGAATCTTGTGCTTTGACCTAGTTAGAGTAAGGATTTTAATAACTTGAAGCCAAAACATCCTGATACGACTAGTGTGGCAGAAATGTCCTGTTTGATGCTAGGGCTCCGCAACCTGGAAAAGAGCCCCCTAGGTACTACCTATCTCGGTTCCCAAAGTTGTGATATTGACAAGCACAGTTCATAGAAACATTTGCTTTAAATGAACAATTACAAATCTAAAACCCACTGGCAGCACATGGCAGCAGTGTTTCTACTACAATGGAATTCTGAATGCGTCACTCCCTCGAGCTGTTCAAAAGGTCTACCTATTTAGTTCTTTTGTTTTCATAAATATGACAATTCTGCTACCTCATTTTTCTTCCATATCTATTTGGACACTAATCTTAGTATCCAATGAAAAAGACCAACGAGGCCCCTGCTCTTTGGAGTTCACAATCTAGTTGCGAAGAACCATAAAAGAAGTACATAAATAAGTGACTTCAGGTCATAAGTGCTCAGAAGAAATTAAAACCCAGGAATGTTATACAGTGACTTGTAGCAGATTTGGGGTGGGAGGATTCAACTGAGGGTCAGGAAAGCCTCTCTGAGAAGGTGACATTTGAGCTAAGACCTGGATGATGAGAAAACACCAGCTACAAGAAGTAGTAAGAACTTCCCAGGAAGAGGGAACAGCAACTGCAAGAGCCCTGAGGTGGGAAACAGCTTGAAGTGACTCTGTTTCTTTTCCTAATGAATAAATAAGGAATATTTACTAACGCATTATTATCCCTGAATAGTGGGAAGTGTACTTTTCCACATATGCCCAGCTTTTGCAATGATATCCATATTATTAGAACATATTCAAGCCTTTCATCATACTTGTCTTATTAAAAATATAAGAAAGATCAGAGAGAAAGTTTAGGAATTTTTCATATACAATTTTCAAAAGCTTTATTACGAAAAAAATAATGGCTAAGTTTGCTTCTCATGTAACCAATTAGATTACCCAGAGAGAAGTAATTAAAATACCACATTTTCTATGGACTATGGCAGGTAGTCTTCTAAAGCTTTTATCACATGCAGGAAGCCAGACTCTTCTTAGGAAGTGGGTCTAGATGTGGGGGTCCAGATGGACTTATCCGGGCTGTGCTCATAAAAAGGAAATCACTTTGGTAACTGCCTCCTCTTCTTGGGCCCCCATCTTTCAGATGCTGTGACTGCTACAGTCAAGTTCTGTTATGGAAAATTCACAATGACTGTCTTCCCCTGGAAAAGCCCTTCACTTGCCTTTTGGATAACAGAAATGTGGTTTCTATCATTCAATGGGAAACTGCATTTCAAAAAACAATTTCAAGAAACATTTTTAAAAAACATATCTAATGGCAAAGTGTTGATTTGTCTTCCTTTGAATTGCCATACTATACTGGAGAATTCAAGACTGCCACTTCTCTCCCATTTTCTTCCTTTCATGTGACAAGTAAGAAGGTTTTTCTGTTTAAGGTGAAAGAGCCAGGTAGAAACCTCAGCTCTTCACTTGACAGAGACAAAACTGAAAGAAACTCAAACTTTGAGAGAACACTTATTTCAAGCCAGTTGTTATATCAGAGACAAAAGAAACAAACAAAAAAAAAACGTAAAAAGACCTGATTCTTTCAGAAACATCTATCATGACATGCACAATTAGCATCCTATTAAGATAAAGATAAATTTAAATATTAAAATAAATATTAAAATAAAGAAATAAAATTAATTTTGTTCTTATTCAAAATTCTGCTGAACAGAGAAATCCCAGCATTCTACTTCATGATATCAAAGATATAATACCTTAAAATTTTACTCCATTAATAAAAAGATTTAGTGTTGACGGATATGATGGGTTTCAGGCAAACACAACAGAAGCTTTGCTCTGCAGATGAGTGTGACTCACCAGAGTCAGACCACTTCCAATTTCTGATGGGTCACATCCAGACTAAGCTTGGCTTGTCACATAGAAAGAAAACAGCCAACATAGACAAGCACTGACAAGCAAACGTCAATGGACTGCTGTGGTCCTTCCTGTGTTTGCACACCCAGTGATGGAATAATCACTGAAGCTCAGGGGACTGGTTCTAATCTGCCCTCACCATTCCCCCAACCCACACAAAGTCTGCACCATCTCTACCATCTTCTTTCCTCTCCATCAGGAAGTTCTTCTTGGTGACACGTATTTAGATTGTTCTCACATTCAGGGCAAGATCTGTGCTCAGTTGCTTTTATCCTTTCTCTTTTATGAAGATATCCACCTATTCCAGTCACCCCCACCTCTTCTGTAACAGCCCTTTCTGGTGTCTCCCACCCTTTCTAAGTCCCTTCCCTATCAGAATCCATCTGTCATGGGGCTGCAGAAATCATCCATAAGCGACATTCCCAGGGCTCTTTCTGATCAAGAATCTAAGGTAGCTTCCTACTGCTTGCCAGATGAAAGCCACACTGGTCTACCTGGCCTGTCAGCCCTTCAGAAATTTAAGCCCTTCCCATCTCACCATTCCAATAAGCAGATGTTTGTGTCCAAGATCACAATGCCTGACATTATTACCACTAGAATGTAAGTTCCCTGAGTACAGGGACTTTTTTTCTACCCTGGTCATTGCTGTATACCCAGTTCATTCATGAATAAATGAATTTTGGATTCTGACTTTTCCTGGAAAATATCTGAGATATCCTTCACTTGGAATTCCATTCCCCTCTTTCTCCACCAAGACTTTTTCCTTGTCTCCTTCAAAATCAAGTGCAATAGGAGGCTATGTCCCCCTCCATATGCTTCAAAGCTCAATTGTTCTGGTAGTTCTCTCTTCATGTGCTACCTCTAGATATTTAATGGACTGACCCATTTCAGTTTGGGAGTTCTACAGTTGTTGGGGAGGAGCTGTGCTTCATTCATTCTTTCAATTAGTCATTCAAAAATTATTTATTGATGGGGCCAGCCCGGTGGCACAGCAGTTAAGTTCTCATGTTCCACTTTGGCAGTCTGGCGTTCACCGGTTTGGATACCAGTGCGGACATGGCACTGTTTGGCAAGCCATGCTGGGGTAGGTGTCCCCCGTATAAAGTAGAGGAAGATGGGCATGGATGTTAGCTCAGGGCTAGTCTTCCTCAGTGAAAAGAGAAGGATTGGCAGCAGATGTTAGCTCAGGGCTAATCTTCCACACACACACAAAAAAAAATTCATTGAATACATTATACTATGCACTAGACCTGCCCTAGGTTCTGAGCTATAGCAGTGAACAAAATAGACAAACATCCCCATCCTCATGGTGCTTATATTCTAATTTGGAGGAAAAGACAATAAACAAGATAAGTAAAATTTATGTTACATAATTATAAGTGCTAAGGAGGGGGAAAAAGCAGGAAAGGTGAAGAGGAAGAATAGGGTGATTAGGAAAGGCCTCTCTGAGATGGTGGTCCTAAGAGTCAAAGGAGTAAGGAGAAAGCATACATACCTCTTGGGCAAGAGCATTTAAGGCAACCAGAACTGCGTGTGCAAAGGCCCTGAGGTGAGACAGTGCCTAACCAGGTGGCTAGTGTGGCTGGAAGAGTGATGAGGGGGAGAATAGTAAGAAATGGTCATGGGGTAACTGGGGTGCTTGCTTGCAGGTTCCAGTGAGGGCTTTGCCTTACTCTAAGTGATCTGACTTACTTCTAGTCATTTGTATAATCTAGACTCAACACCATAGGGGTAAACAAGGAACTATTGGGGGCCTTTGAAGTTCTTGAAGAGGGAGGGCTTGGCCTTGTAGGTAGCACACCCCTGCCTCTTGTGATGAGGTGCTGAGGCTGCCACAATGAGGTCAGGTCATAGGACAACCACACAGCCAAGTGTGGACAGAGCCTGGCTCTGTTGGAGCAGAGCTTGTGCCAAGAGCAGGGCTGAGAAGCCGCATCCAGGAGGAGTAAACATCATCACATAGGAGGTCTTCTCTATACCTTCTGGTCTTGGTGGCTCAAGACTAGACAATCTTTGCTGAGAGACCATCATCATTGGGGTTGCCGAGCCAACAGTCACCAGGATCCATCAGCAGAAAGCCACACAGATTTCTGTGGGGAGGCTCCAGCTAGAGCAGAATCCAAAGCACACCTTTGCTCAGTCTCTCTAAGGCTCCATTTCCCCATGTGCAAAATGGGAGTCATAACAGTACCTACTTAATAGCGTTGCCAGGTAATATTCAATGAGCTAACAATACACAAGAACCTACACTTAAAGAGCCCTCACTGTGTTCCAGATTCTGCTCTTAGCACTCTAAATAGAGCAAATAATTGTACCCTCACTGCAAGCCTGTGAGGCAGATGTACTGTTATCACCTGTACCAGTTTCCTAGGGCTGCCACAGCAAATTACCACAAACTTGGTGACTTCAAACAACAGAAATTTATTCTCTCACAGTTCTGGAGGCCAGCAGTCCAGAATCAAGGTGTTAATAGGCACAAAGGCTCTGGAGGAGATTCCTTCCTTGTGTCTTCCAGCTTCTAGTGGCTCCTGAAGTTCCTTGGCTTGTGGCTGCATCACTCCAGTCTGCCTCTTTCTGCGTGTTCCTGTGTCTGTATGTCAAATTTCCCTCTTCTTTCTCTTATCAGAACACCAGTCATTGGATTTGGGGCCCACCCTAAATCCAAAATGATCTTATCTCAAGATCTTTAATTACATCTGCAAAGGCCCTATTTCTTTCTTTCTTTCTTTCTTTCTTTCTTTTTTTTGAAGAAGATTAGCCCTGAGCTAACTACTGCCAATCCTCCTCTTTTTGCTGAGGAACCCTGGCTCTGAGCTAACATCCGTGCTCATCTTCCTCTACTTTATATGTGGGACGCCTACCACAGCATGGCTTGCCAAGTGGTGCCATGTCCACACCCAGGATCTGAACCGGCGAGCCCTAGGCCACCAAAGTGGAACGTGCGTACTTAACCAATGTGCCACCAGGCCGGCCCAAGGCCCTATTTCTAAATAAGGTCATAATTACAGGTACTATTATCATCACTATTATTGTCACTTTACAGATGAGGAAACTAAGTCACAGAGAAGTTAAGTAAGTTGCACAAAGTTACTCTGATGTAAATGTTGGGACCAGGAATTAAACACAGGTATTCTGGGTCCAGAGGCCAGGCTTTTAACCATCACCCTACCCTACGCTACATGACTTGAGGCTAGTACACTGCCTGGTGCATGGTACTAGTGCTATATGTGGGAGCCAATCTCCTCATCCAGAAGTGAAAAGTGACTGACTTTGAGGATTTGGCTGGAAGGGTTGTCTAGGCTGTTGTCACTGATGGCACCAGACAATGCTGTACCTTTTAAAGTATGGAGCCTTTGGTCTCTGATAGTTAGAAGCTTGCAGCTAAGTGGCAGAGGCTGAGATTGTGATTCTCAGGGAGGTTAAGGGACTTGCTCAAAGCCATACATCTTATAAATGGCAGAGCACGGATCTGACCCAAGTCTCACAACTCCACTCCACTGCCTCAGCCACTGCCCTGCATTAGGGACGTATGAAAACTACTCAGCTCGGTCCTTCTCAGTTGACTCAATGCAAAAGAACTTGCCCAAAGTTCTGTTCACATGGAAAGATCTTATTCTATTTCATAAATACACAAATGCTAAAAATGAATTTCAAGGCCTCAATGATGACCAGTTAGCTAAAAGGCAAAGGAGAGGGAAGGAAAACAAGATGAACACAGGCTTGGGGGAGACAGCAAGAAGACAGAGGCAGAGAATAAGGGGGCTTACAGGAGAGGTGGGGATGGGACTGGAAAGAGAGGTAGAGAGATGGTAATTGAGTAAATAACCTCTGTCCTGTTCCACTGACATCTTGAGCCACCAACTTTAGAGAAAGTTATTTGCTTTCATTTATGATCTTTTATTTCTACTCTTTGAAATGTTAATTAGCTGGTTATTCTGAGTTCACAGCTCTTTAGTTAGAAAAGGAGTGCATTCATTTTAACAAAGTAGCCTGGCTGATCCTGAGTGGACCACTTAGAGGCTCAGCTTTGCATGGGAAGAGCCCATCCAGTGACACCCAGGCAGCGGAAACAGGCGTGGGAGTGCAGAACAACCTCTTCGTCCAAATCAGACTCTGCCAACCCCACGTTCCCCACCACACAGCTCTTGCTGTGGGTTGTGCTCTTCTCAGATCAGCAACAAGTAAGTGACTTCACACTTGATGTGCCTGACTCTAAAAATGTTAATGACTCAAAAATCAAATGCCAACAGGAGCTCCGTGTTTTGGAAATAAGGAAGCAAAGGCGTCCCCTTCCCTCACTCTCCCCCTCACTCCCCCCCACCACACCATCTACCTCCTCACCCACACCCCTTCTGGCCTCTCCTCAATTCTCTTGCCGATAAATTACACAGAGCACAATAGGCCTTTGTGGTTATCATGGAATCCTATATTCAAGTATAGGGTTGGCAAGGAGGAGGGTTGTTTCCGGCAAGTGATATCAATGAGACTGCAGACAGGAATTCTCCTGTCCCAGCCAACAAGTGTAACAATCTCGTATATTGATAGGCCCTGAAATAAGTACATTGGTTCCACTAAACAAATCCTCTTCCTCATCTGAAAACAAAGAATTGTGCCCTGGGAACTCTACCCTTTCTCAAAGCAGCTGCATTTGTTAACAAGCCTTGGTTATTCGTAGCCAGTGAGAAAGACTGAGAAATGTTCCAGCCATATATCACTAGTGTGGGGGTCAGGGTGAGGTGAGGTGAACTGATTCACCCAGGCTGCCTAGCCTTACATTCCCCCATCTTCTACACCTCACATTCACAAGTTCTCTCATTTCTATCTCCTCATTTTTGTACCTAAGAGGTATAAAAGTCAGAAGCAACATAAAAATATTTCTGCAGCAAAATATGCCATATACAAAGGAAAAAATGACAAACTGGGGAAAATGTTTGCAACAACTATGAAATAATTGGTTTCCTTAATATAGAGTCATTAGAAATCATTAAGAAAATGATTAACCCGTGTAATAGAAAAATGGGCAAAAAAACATGAATAGGCAATTCAAAGAAAAAAGAAATATATTCTCAACATATTAAATGTATTCTGATTACCTTTAAAGAAATGTAAATGAAAAAGTAACGAGATATCTTTTATCACTTTTCAGAATAGCAAAGTTTTTTTTTTAGATTGTTAAGCTTTCTTTTTTATTTTTTTATTAATGTTATGATAGATTACAACCTTGTGAGATTAGAATAGCAAAGTTTTTTAAAAGTTTGATAAATATATATAATATTATTACATAATTATTAGAATGGCCAAAATTAAAAAAACAATACCGACAATATCAAATGTTGGCAAGCATGTGGAACAACTGGAACTCTCGTACATTGCTGCTAGGGATGTAAAATGGCACAGACACTCTGGAAATGGTTTGGTGGCTTCTTACGAAGTTAAACATACACTTACCATATCACCAGGCAATCCGACTCTTAGGCCTTTACCCAAGAAGAGTGAAGACATGTCCACACAACAACCTATACCTAAATATTTCTAACAGCTTTATTCATCGCCCAAAACTTGAAACAACCCAAAAGCACATCAACTAGTGAATGTACCCAAATTGTGATACAACCATACAATGGAAATTTACTCAGCAATGAAAAGAGAATAATCTACTGATAAATGTAACAACATAGATGAATCTCAGAAGCATTATGCTAAGTGAAAGAAGCCAGACTCAAAAGCCTATGTACTGTATTTCATTTATATAATATTCTGGAAAAGGCAAAACTAAGGACAGAAATCAGATCAGTGGGCAGAGGTTCAGGGACAGGAAATTGACCACAAAGGGCCACAAGGGAACTTTTTGAGATGACGGAAATACTCTCTTGATTGTGGTGGTAGTTAATGACTAAATACATTTGTTAAAATTCACGGAATCACACACTTAAAAAGGGTGAATTCTACTGAAAATTCAAAAAGAAATTGTATATATTGACAAGGATGTGGGGAGACAGGCACTTCTTACATGTTGGTGGGAGTAAAAACTCATATAACCTCTTTGGTGGGGGGCAATTTTGCAATATCTATCAAAGAGCAAAAGTACATATATGCTTTGACTCAAGAATTCTACTTCTAGGAATTTAACCTGCTGATAATATTTATGAATGTATGAAAAGATGCATGTAGAGGGACGTTCAATGCAGCATTATTTGTAATAGCAACACTAAAAATGAGTAAAGGTCTTATTAATTGAGGTCTGGATACATAAATTCTAGTACAGTTATACATAATACTATGCAGGCATGACAAAGGTTGAAATCTATGAGAGTTGATGCAAACTATCTTCAAAACATTTTATATGTGAAAAGCAACATGTGGAACAATGTGTATAGTATGTTCCCACTGGGTCAAGGCATAGACATCTCTGGAGAGATACAGATTCACTAGGAAGACTCTAAGGACTCAGCATACAGTCATACTCATGGTTAAGATTTATTACAGTGAAAGGATATGAAGCAAAATCAGCAAAGAGAAAAGAAGTATGGGGGAAACAGGCAAAAGCTTCCAAGGGTCTTTTCCCAGTGGAGACCACATGACACAATTAATTCCCCCAGCAATGAGATGTGACAATACGTGTGAAATGTTGTCTACCAGGGAAGCTCATCAGAGACCCAGCACCCAGGGCTCTCACGTGGGGCCAGTCACATAGGCACCTGCCATCCAGCATACACCAATATTCCAGACTCCCAGAAGGAAAGCAGGTGCCCAGCACAAGCGACACTACTTGCACAAATAGTCTAGGCACAGCAAGCCATCCCCATCAATTCTCAGAATGGTGAGAACCCTCTCCAAATCTAAGCTCCAGACAGCAGCCAAGGGCCAACCCTGCAAGCAGGTCTCCCCAAGTTCAGCAGTCCTTCCTCCTGCACTGAGCAATTCCTAAAATATTTTACCATATGACCTTCCTTACTCCCCCAACCCCTTCTTTCACCATTCTTTGTTCTCTTTCTTCCTCTCCTCCTTCCCTCTTGCAGGGAGAAAGACAGTTCCTCTACCCGCTCTGGGTCCTTCTGGCCAGACATCAACTTAAATTCACATGAGACAGAATAACAGGAGAAAATTAAACAAAGCTTTATAACATGTATACATGGGAGAGGCTCAGGCAAACTGAGCAACTCACCAAACAGTGGAAA